ATTGAGTATTAAGAATAAAACCATGAGGACTGTATTACTGATGTCTATTTAGATCCCACTTGGTGGATTTTTGAAGACAAAAGGATAAGCTGTCCTATTGGCTAGGCTTCTTGTACCCTAGTTGTTAGCTGCTTTCTTGCCTCTTAGTGGTATTGTTTAAGTCATAATTGCCTGAATAACGTTTTTGAAAATTATTTTCTTGGATGCATTTATCTTGAAAATGCTCTGCCTGTATATTAGAAGATTCTATAAGACATAAAATGGCTTAAAGTGCTTTTAGTTGCAGCCTTCTGAAGGGTCCAAAAATGATACTGGATCTTGTGGAAGAAATCTTTCAGTTTTCTGTAAATATAGGTTTCTGTATATGTATATTTATATATAAGGTTATGTGGTTATAAAACCTTACTATGGAAAATGTTTAGAAAACAGTGCACTCTAAGGCGGGGACTACACAAAAGATGCTGTAACACATTTAATGCCCTAGTTAAATGCATTGCACAAGGCCCGTTTTCTGGAGCTGGATAAACAGAACATCTTTCTTTTTCTATTCGAAGCTTCTAACCCACCCCAGCTACTTCAGTGGCACAACAAATGGAAATCTTATTTCTTGCCTCTGCAGACCTATTTACCTGAGTGTCGAAGCGCACCCTTGCCTTTCTCAGGCCTTGCCTTCCTAAAATATGCTTTTACTTTCATCTCCCTTCCTTCGCTGCCCTCATTTTTTAAAGCCCTCTCTAATCCTGCACTCCATGTACTTTAATCTGTGATGTTGGATGTTGCCATTCTGCATAGCTGCCTTTAAACGTTCATCTCCCAGATTCTCATTTTCTTCCATTATGAACTGAAATCCCTTTTCATAGCCTGTAACGGTAAAAACATTTTAAAATAAAGAACTATTATCAAAGCCATTTCTGCCAATTTAAAATGCCTTATTGGATGGCTTTATGCCCTTTGATGATTCCGTTATCTTTGCAAACTATGACTTTGACTTATTTGTATGGGTATATATTTTTATTTATTATGAACAGAGAGGTTCTTACAGATGTCTGTGTGTCCCCCTTGCCCTTTATGTATTTTTATTTTTGGACTTAAGGAAATTGATGATTTTAAAAGAAGCAAAGGAGTGTGTGTGTATGAGTAATAGACTATATGTAACCTGCAAAGCCTGAAATATTTACTATCAGACCCTTTGCAGTAAAGTGTGCTGACTCCTTTCATATTTAAAATACTGATTTAAAATGTGTCTGTTTGGGGGATCTCTGTTTCCTACCCCCCGAATTAAAGCTCTTAAATGTGTGAAGCGGTAAGAATGTTAGAGCCTGAGCTGACCAGTTGTGAGGTGGTGCTAGCTGTGGTCCCTGTTCCTCAGGGTTACTTCCTAGGCCCCAGCCTCCCATCTGGGAGACCGTGTGATTACATTTGGTGGGTGTGACTGTCTGTGGTGTGTAAATGTTCCACAGGAAATGCCTGCCAGTGAAGCAGAGGAGGTAAATTACTGGTCATTGATAACATGGTTTTCATACCCTAGAGAGGTTGCATTGTCCTACCTGGCATTTCTGCCTGCAGCAACAGGAAGGGTGATGGAAATGTGCTTCCCATTTCTTAATCAGGTAGGGAATAAAACAGGTCATAGTTAAAAGAAAACAGTATCTATTCAAGGGGTAGAAAATGTACCAGCTGTGCTGGTTGTTGCAGTGAAACACCTTTAATTCCTCTTAACCATCTTTGAGCTTCTGCTGAGGAATATTAACCGGAGGATTTCTGGTGTTGTCCAGAACCAATATTGTATCGTTCAAGTGGATGCCCCTAAGTTGTGCACTTTCCGCCCCTGGCGTCATTGTGATGCTGTCTTTCTTTGACCATAAACCATTTGCCCTTGAGCACTTAAAACAGAGCCACCCTGCTTTGTGCTTCCTGCTCATACATAAAACTTCTCTCCCTACTTGGTGCCTTTCTAATAAAAAGATGCTGGAAGTTAGAGATCTTTCATTGCTTCTGAAAAGCAAATCAAACAGAACAGCATGTTTGAGAGTGATATTATAGTGAGATGGTGAAGTAAACTTGAAATGGAAACTCCCCTTCCTGCAACTCTTAAGCCTTGTTTTATTGCAGCCTGCATAAAATCATAGTGCTGGAGCCCAGCTGCTCCAAAGGCTGAAGGTCTTCATGCTTACAGTATGCTTTGGAAACTCATCCCCACCACATTTGCAGTTAATGAAAATATTTGCTTTGCATGATATAAACAAAGTTTATGGGCAGAATTTGTAATTAGGAAACTCTTTAATTCTCTTTTTCCCTTCAATGCCTAATTTCTCTTTTACCATGTTAGAGAATCCTAAGTATTTAAGAAAATAAACCTTATCTCAGTACTGTTTATTTCTGGTGGTGGTACATGTATTTCTCCATTCTTTTGTGTCCTCATCCAAATTAAAGGACTTGAAATCTGGGTTTTTATTTGTTTTTGTATAGGTCAGTAGTACTCATTTGTGAGTAGGGGAGACAGTACCTTTGTGGCCTGTCAGGCCATCCCACAGCCATTTGACTGGCTGGGTCTGTGATTTACATTGTGTAAGAACAGCTACAGGGCAACTTAGCTCTCTTCAAACCACATGGAAAACCCGTGTCAACTCTTCAAGTTCCCCTACACATCTTTTGTGTGTAACGTCCTGGGGCTGTGGCCTCAGCAGTTTCCAAGTTCTGGTCTGTCTCCTGGTGTTTCTTGCCTGTACACGCATGAATTGGGTGATCTGATGTGGTTCTTGTAGCCGCGGCACCTGCTTGCACTCTCAACGTGAGACTAACGTGGTGATGAGAAAACAACCATCCCTCAGCTTTTAAAAGTTTGTCGGACAGAGGGCATCGGGCCCCAGTGTGAGCTGGCATCATGGTGCTGCCCAGCTCTGTCTTAAGATCTGTTTCCTTGCCAGACAGCTGAAGAGGGGAAGCAGCTGGGAAACCTCGTGACCTGGCTGAAAGCCTCGAGGTGGTTTCTCAAAGATTCCAGGCTCATGGACAGTGCTATAAGACCGGCCCCTGTGGTTCTGGGGACTGTTGGTAATGGTATCTTACAGTACTGGCTAGGGAAACAAGGTGGATGAAGCTTGTGAGGAGTGGGGAGCCCAGGCTGGGGGCCATTGCTATCCCCACAGGTTCTAGGAGGTGAAGGCCTCTAACTTCTGCCTGCTTCCCTCCCTTGAGGACAGAACTTTGCCTTGGGCATTTGCATGAATGTCCTTGTTTTTGTAATTCCAGTGAGAGTTTTTCATGTCTTTTTTCTTCAAATGCAGTCATTTGGGCAATTAGCAATAAATCTTTAGTTTCCCAAATTTATTAAAACCACCTCATGCATACCTAATCCAGGGAAGACTGAAATTATCTTCTTTGCTGATGCCACCATTGTGAGGCCTTTCTGTTCACTGCTCTGCTGTGAGTTGCCTTTAAAAGTAAGGCATGTGGACTGGGCATGGTGTCTCAAGTCTGTAATCCCAGGACTTTGGGATGGCGAGGTGGGCAGATCACAAGGTCAGGAGATAGAGGCCATCCTGGCTAACACGGTGAAACCCCATCTCTGCTAAAAATACAAAAAATTAGCAGGGCATAGTGGCACACGCCTGTAATCCCAGCTACTCGGGAGGCTAAGGCAGGAGAATGGCTTGAACTTGGGAGGTGGAGGTTGCCGTGAGCTGAGATAATGCCACTGCACTCTAGTCTGGCAACAGAGCAAGACTCTTTCTTAAAAAAAAAAAAAAATATGGAGAGGGTGACGCTACTTCCCTTGACTCCTAACACAAAAAAAACAAGCACACTGATAGCATTTGAAACTTGATGGTTTGGTTCGTATCCCTTTTGAGCCTTGTACACAAAAATCTGCAAAAATTTAGTTCCTGCCTAGCTAGACAACTTTCATTTTTCTTTTTAAAAAATCTAGTCCTTGATTGTGTGTGTGTGTGTTTGTGTCTGTGTGGGTTTTTTTTGTTTGTTTTTGGAGCCAGGAAGGCATGGCAAGGACCGGTCAGATAGCTTTTGTCACAAAGACTGATGTGCTTGTGGGAAAGTTTATGCATCTTCCAAATTCTGTCTGTGACTTAGAGTTTGAAGATGCTTTTTAAGAAGCAGGTAATGATTTACATTCTTTCCCTGCATATCCTCAGTTCCATCTTAGTACGCAGGGAAGGTGATTGGTGGGGAGAGGCAATAGGAGGAAATGTGGTTTGGTTTTTTTTTTGAGGGGAGAGACTAGTTCCAGCCGGGATACTCTTTCTTGTATACTTTCAACACTGTGATGATTACATCCTCTCTGCTTCTCGAGATTTTGCCTACCCTAAAATGTTTAATTTCATAATGGTAAGCTTGTTTGTCCCCAAGCTTGTTTAGGGGCCGAGTGTCAAGTGGAAGCTGCCTAATAAGTGAGCAGTGTTTCTAATCCAGTGACTGGTTTGGGGCTGGTTGAGTTTTAAGAGGGTGGCCCCATGTCATGGGGAGTGTTGAGTAGATGGGTTGAGAGAACTGAGGGATGGTGCTGGGGAGGAATGTGGATGTAGGTTAGACTCTCCCTTAGACTTTTTTTTTAGAGAGGGACAATGGAGGCCCAGGAGTTCTGGAAAGGTTGGCATCTGAATCTGTTTTACTGGTACCCGTGTAAGGCCAGGAAGCCCTGTCCTTTTCCTTTAGCGGAAATCAAAGCTGCTTGTGGATCGTTCATACTGGACGTTGATCTAATCACAGATCGGTGGCTTTCTGGATCCTTTGTTAGGGATTGAAATCAGATCAGTTAGGGTAGTACAGAAAGGCACGTGGAGTCAAGTTCACTGATGCCTGAGTTTTCCTTCACAGTGTAAAAAGTTTCAAGAATAATGGGGAAAAGTTATATTAAAAAAAAAATCAATATGCATATCTGATATATGAGAATGATATTCTAAGAATATAGTTTATAGGAATTACATTTGCATCAACTTGTAATGAATGGATTCTTTAACCTAAGTGTTTTCTCTCCACTCTAGGAGGTGACTTTGGTACCGAGACTTCTCCAGTCCTGCCCCTTGGCCACGGTGGTGACTCTCCTGTGAGCAGTCTTCCCGCAGCAGAGGACACCTATAGGGTGAGCCTGGCGAAAGGTGTCTCGATGTCTCTGCCTTCATCACCTTTGCTGCCTCGACAGTCTCACTTGGTGCAATCAAGAGCAAACAAAAAATCCCCAGGTAAACAGGCAACGAAGGAGCTGCCTTGGTTATATACGTAGTACATGTACTGAAAATAAGCAAAACTAGTGCCCGTGAGAAATCTTTTGAGAGAATGTTTTTTTCTTTTTCTTTGTTGCAATATCTTCTAGAAGAAAGAATTTTTTTTTTTTTTTAATATAAGGGAAAAATATGGTTTAATAGATTTGTCCTATTTGGACTGCCCAGGCTAGATTTTTACAAAGATTTAAGATCTTGTTATCAGTACTGATGTTTACCAGCAATTTTGTTGTTTTCTTGCTGATGAATTAAGGAGCACTATGCAGTCATGGCACCAAATAATGATGTTTCTTTTGGTCAGTGAAACTGCATGTGTGACGGTGGTCCCACGAGGTTAGACTTCCGTGTTTTTACTATACCCTTCCTGTGTTTAGATATGCAGATACTTGCCACTGTATTAATAGTTGCCTACAGCATTCAGTATAGTAACATGCTGTACAGGTTTGTAGCCTAGGAGCAATAGGCTATACCGTGTAGCCTAGGTGTGTAGTACGGTGTGCCACCTTGATTTGTGAAAGTACACTGGAGGATGTTCGCACAATGACAGAATCACCTAATGACACCTGTCTCAGAATATATCTCCATCATTAAGTGACACATGACTGTAATTCAAGCACACCAGACTGTGGTGTGTTTAAAGGTTATAGATTAAGCAAATGTCATCTGATAGTAGTCTGTTTATTACTACCCAGTATATACTGATGTATTTTATTTGATTACTTCATCTAGCATTTGAACAGCTATAAAGTTTGTTTGTGAAAACTCAGACTTGTAAAGTGGTACGGGAAAAGGACTTTGGATTATTCCTATACAGTATTTTGGCTTCCCTCTATCAACGTTTTACACTTAACATTACCCAAAAAAAACAAACAGAACTTTGAGAGGTTATGATTCGCATGTGAGGAAAGCCTTTCTAAAATGCTGATACCTTGAGCTTTAAAAGTTACTAGATTTTTTTTTTTTAAGGTTTGTGGAGTGTTTACAAAAGGCAGGATAATTTGGGGCCCAGTTGATCATATGACAGTGTAAGGATTCTTCTCAGTTACATGTAAACATATTCAGAATCTATCCAAAATGTGCCTGGGGCTGTGAAATTGGTATCTCTGATTTCCTGATAATAATTGTATTTCTTGAGATGACATATGCTGAATCATTGAGTAGACATTGAGGCTTATGTGCTGGTAAAATTAGGAGGGGATACCTAAAGGCTCTGAATGTTAGAAACAGTGCTATGAATTGGTGAGTGTCCAAAATCTTTTATTGTTGCAGAATTTTCTGGTTTTGGACAACATTGTTTACAATCCATTAATTAGCTGGAACTCAGGAACCTTTTTGGTATGAAGTAATTTCCTGTGCCAAGGAATTTGACCTGTTTATCAGTATTTGGGGAAATTCCTGGAATGTCCTTCCTTCCTTCTTTGCCCTCCCTCACTGCTGTATCTCTTTGTCACATTTCTTCTCTTCCTTCAAATCATATTTCCCACACTGCCTCATATTGGGTTATCTTGATTGGAATTACTTTTTCCGAAAAGTATGCACAGCATTTTACTTTTTCTTCATTAGCTATGTCATTTGCCCTTTTCCCCTGAATTAGTGTGTATAGTGACCAAAAAAACCCCAAAAAACACCAAAACTTTTGCTTGGCTACCTTTAAGTCATGCTTCTGAACTTTCTTCTGGGGGTGTGGGGTGTGTGTGTGTGTGCATGCGTGCGTGTGTGTGTATACACACGCACGCATGTGTGCACTTTTTTTTTTTTTTTTTTGAGACGGAGTTTCGCTCTTGTTACCCAGGCTGGAGTGCAATGGCGCGATCTCGGCTCACCGCAACCTCCGCCTCCTGGGTTCAGGCAATTCTCCTGCCTCAGCCTCCTATGTAGCTGGGATTACAGGCACGTGCCACCATGCCCAGCTAATTTTTTGTAGTTTTAGTAGAGACGGGGTTTCACCATGTTGACCAGGATGGTCTCGATCTCTTGACCTTGTGATCCACCCGCCTCGGCCTCCCAAAGTGCTGGGATTACAGGCTTGAGCCACCGCGCCCGGCTTGTGTGCACTTTTTTTAAGATCCAGGTTTAGCAAAGAAGCATGCTACTAAGTTTAGCGAGAATGCCTCCCCACCCCACCCAAATCTGATTAGATTCCTCATCCTCCACCATCTTCCAGGTGACATCTGGTCACCCTGACCTGTCTTTAGCAGGAATTGCCTTCCTACACCTGATGTTTGTGCTTTGTAATTTTTCATGCACCGATCCCCACCCTGTTCCTTGGCTATAAGTTCTACTTGCCCATGCTGTGTTTGGAGTTGAGTTCAATCCTTCCCCACCTAAAATACCACTGCAGTGGTCCCTATATGTGTTAAGATGGTCCTGAATAAAGCCTGCCCTACTGTACTTCAAAAAGTATCACTGAGTAGTTTTTTTCTTTTTAAAAACAGTATGTGCTTCCTCTGTCTGATGCTTGAGGACAAACAAGATGTCTTATACCTCATCCCTATAAAATAGATAATAGAGATAATTCAGAAACTATTAGTATTCTTAAGGGATCACTGTTGAAGGTGATGCCAAGTGCAGAGGTTTGACCTTTTGGACAATTCACCTACCTATAGTCTGTGCTACTACAAATGAATTAATGTTGCCTGGGCCTTAGGATGGGGGAACACCTGAGAGACTTCAGGGAAGACTGCATTTTAGATATAATTTTATTAACAAATTCAGTGTGTTAGTGGGACTCCAGGTAGGATTGAATGGCATGGCAAGCCTGGGGAGCGTGGTTACCCAGAGAGGTTTCATGGAGGTTATAGGCATGGGGCCAGAAGAATCTCTGGTGAGGCCTTGTCTTCTTATACGTGTGTGGACCACGTTCATTTTTTTTTCTTTTTTTAAGAAAATATCCGTCAGTTTTTCTCCACAGGAATGAAATTTATTTTTGCTAAATTCTTTGCAAGGCCTTAGAATAGAAGGAGGTTAGTAGTTCTGAAACTTAAAAGCTTTTATTGGATTTGGAGAACATGTTCTCTATATCAGATGTTTTTGGTCCAAATGGTAACTAAATAAACTAAGCAGATACATCTCTAATGGAGCAGTATTTGTTCACTGCCCAAATTTGTACAGCAAATTAGTGTCTCACAGTGGTAATTTGGCTTCATTATCTTGGTAATTTTAATTGGAAAAGTTTAGGGCTGAGATGCTGTTTAAAAATGGCAGTAACTGAATACATCAAATGATGAACAATAGTTTTTTCAGTGTCTAACATTTCTGCCTAAACCATATTGTTGGTAAAGTATCCAGGGCCCTAATGTTCTACCTGCCTGGTTTGAAAAAAAAAAAAAAAAAAAAAAAAAAAAAACCAACTTATGGTTATAAATGTGCACTGGATTTAAAAATACTCATCTATTTTAAAAGCTAGCACCATTGCTGCTAATGATACAGTAAATACAGTGTGTCTGCAGCACCCAGAGATACGGAGCCACTCGCCTCCTCATCCTTCTACCCCGGCCCCACGAGGGTCATGCTCCAGGATCCAGCCAGCATTCAGACACCTGCTCTGAAATTACTTCGATGACTTTTGTTCTGATTTGTAAACCACCCCCCTACCCCGCCCCGCCCCATTCCTCTCTTTTTAAGGTTAAAAAACAAACAAACAAACTTGTTTTACTTGTTTGGATAGAAACTCTTCACTAATTGATGCTAATCCAGAAACTGTCAGGGACTGGAACAATTATTCTTGCAAGGGTCAAATGTTACAAACTCCTATAAGAAGACACTCTGAACAACACAGCCTGTGTTAATAAAAATATATATGTTGGCTGGGCATGGTGGCTCATGCCTGTAATCCCATCACTTCGGGAGGCCAAGGCAGGCGGATCACCTGAGGTCAGGAGTTCGAGACCAGCCTGGCCAGCCAGACCAACATGGAGAAACCCCGTCTCTACTGAAAATACAAAATTAGCTCGGTGTGGTGGTGCATGCCTGCAATCCTAGCTACTCAGAAGGCTGAGGCAGGAGAATGGCTTGAACCCAGGAGGCGGAGGTTGAGGTGAGCCAAGATTGTGCCATTGCACTCTAGTCTGGGCAATAAGAGGGAAACTCCATCTCAATAATAATAATAATAATAATAAAATTTTTAAAAATATGTATGTTAAAACAGTTTATGATTACTTCCTGGATCTTGGGAATTGTGGGCCAAATGACCTTGCAAAAATGTGACCCTGCATGTTACATGATTGAGTTCGTTTCTTTACACTCATATTGAGGGTTGTTATTTTTATTTACTCTGCTGCCATCTTCCCCTATTTATTTATTTGGTTTCTTTTTCATTGCTAGAAAATTGTTTTTTGAGTATTGTTTCAAAACTTTCGTTTTTAATCATAAATGTATTTTCTGTTAATGAAAACAAGGACCAGCATCCATTAAAGTAGTTCTGTGGCAGTTGCAAGTCTTTTTGGATTAATAATTCATCAATATTTGTAATATGTGCTGCTGTTTTCCAGAGAAAAGCTCATTTCCTGTGATTTATTAGTAATATCATTAGATGCTTTACACAGTATCTGCATTTTTTTTCCCGGATCACTCTGGGCCCATTATCAGAGAATCTAAAGGTCGTGCGTGAATGAGAAGCAGCCCTTTGAAATGCACGATGGGGTAAGACAGCAGATGTGACAAGTGGGTGGTACTGCCCTACTCCTTGTGTGAGGACACTTCCGCTTCTGCTGCTTCCAGTTCCACTTCTGTCACACAGTGGCCAGAGCTGATGTAGCAGTTTTGAAAACTTCTCCACCTCTGTTTTTTAAAAGGAAAACTGCAAAACTGACAGGCTGTGTAGTAGAAGCCATATTGTCCCTTTGATACTTGGACCATGAGTTAATGTCTGTGAAGGCACTCCTTCCACTAACCTGCAAGTATTTCTTGTAGAAAAGTTGGAAATCTCATCATTGAGAAAGAACTACTGTTAACAGTTTTTT